TCAACAGTCAGATACAACACTATAAAGTCGTATTTCACATGTAATTATTTTCAAATACTGATTATGTCTTCACAGTTAGGGGGTTTTCGGCAGTTACTTTTTACTAGCTGCTTGAGGTCCTCGGATGGCATCTTTTAAGTCAATATCTCATTCGATTCCCCCGAGCAGCTCTTCACTAAGGACGTGTAATTCACTGAATAACTGACGAGTGGCTGGTGTGCTTCATATTCAGAGTGTAGCGATGGTAATCACATGTTGCATTTAGTATTCCTACAACGATAAACTCAGAAACGATTTATCTGCTTGTATCCGACGCTTACCACCTTTCTGGTTGACACACAGGTTCAAAAAACGCTAGAAAGTTACTGTTACTTATGATGCGCTGGAGTAGCAATGAAATAAGCAAAATAGAAGTTACACCCGTTTCATAGTTCATAGTTCGTAGTTGTTGTCCATTGTTCGTAGTTGTTCCATACCATTGAGAAGTGGGAGAAACATCCTTTTGATGATCTGATTAGTATGCCGTGTGAAATCTTTAAAGAAATCCCTTCAAACGATCCCTCCAAAATGTCACACCAAGGTAAGTTAACAGGTATGCGTCAGACCATTATTAGTCAGTATAATTCAAACTAACAGCCCGTCGCTCACCAGGCCATTCAGGAGCCTTAAATGTTAGTGAACACTCAGTTCAGTCATTGGATATACGGGATAGTTCGATGTCGTTTAATACGTCTTTTTATCCAGTTCAAGCGACAGGCCCTGTTTCGCGATAATTGCCGCTGCAGCTTCACGGTTGACCATTCTGTTGGAAGAGTTTTCCTGCATTCGAATACTGTCAGTGGCACGTCAGTCCATCCGGACCGTTTAAAAGAAGCCTGACCTAACTGAATCTCAACTCAAGTGGAGATTCAGTCATGATGACAAGTGATGTGTGTTGTTAGGCCAGTTCCATCGTGCCATAGAATTGTCTCATTTTGGAGCTAGGGTGTTTCGTCCTTTTTCCTCCGATCTCAAGTGCAAAGAAACCAGAGCAATTACTGACATCCTCACGAAAACCTGTAGGGACACTTCTTGTATTTAGCTTGGTCGCATTTTTATTCGGTTGAATGACGCACAGTACAAATTCCCTCTTCCTCAGACTCTGAGATGCCGCCTCTAAGTTTATGGACCTGCTAGGCGTTGTCGGCATCCACTTTTTCCCGTTTCCCGGTTTCATTATGCTCTTTCATTCACACTATTGTTGTCGAACTTTGTCCCCACTCAAACTCAATCGGTGATGAACTACATGCACCCCCTGAGCTGAACCGAATGACTCATCCACCTCGCTAATGGCCTTTGTCCAGTTATTGCTGATCAGCTAAATATTGTTCATCTTTTGAATTACACCTATGGGGTTGTGGGCTTATTAATGATTGCAGCGTTACAACTAAGTAGCCTTCAATTTAGGGCTGTTTTGTGCACAGAACACGTTTCGAACTACTAGATTTCAATCGAGAAATTGCATGCTAAAACGAGCATCTCATGGTCTGAGTGGTCTAGCTTCGGCATGAAAAACTGACAGCCGCAATCGAAACAACCCATGTAATTACGGTGGTTCATGGACGACATGCGAGGACTTCCAATTACTGTTTTGGAATGAATGATAAATGGTATTCACGGTAGTAATGACCGTTCGTCAACGATCACTGCGAGCGGTGGATTTGGATTCAAATTTATTCAGATCAGACTACTAATTTATCCATATTTCCTGGGAATTTTCCGATCTTATTCGTGGAGTCTCACAAAAATCATTTGAATGCCAACTCAAGTTTTAAGCTATCACCTTCCAAATTTGATGCTCTGTTCAAAAGCGTCGCTCACGTTTCCTGTTGGAGGTCAACCTAATACGCACTTTTGGCTGTTATAGAGAACGGGCACACCAAACTTGTCATAACGAAAACAATGCTCATGAGATCGCTGAAAACCAGTCGACAGTTCACAACCGCTTTCATTCTTCTTTGAACTCATCAGGTGAGTACAGCCTTGTAGTCACAATCAGTTCAATTAATTTATCAGCTAAAAATCATGTATCATCGGTACATTGGTTCCAGCTGCCACGATTCCGATCACCTCAGTCTCCAGCAACATTGTTATAAATGAACCCAACTTGTACACCATTCGCGAGATACACTCACTTGCAAACTAATTTGGTTTTGGTGGAGCAGGAAGTGAATCCTGGCGGAACCTCCCACTCATGGCATTCCTGTTCTATATTTAAATGTGGTAACAAACGTTATTGGCACGCGGATCAAAGCCTCGGGACAGAACATAGATCTATAGAGTTAACGCCGACAACCGCACGATACCCGCACAAATCGGTTGGATTTTTTTAGATGTGTTCAATTCTCTCTCGTTAAGTGAAGATCACATGATACATAGGTGTTCAGTACTGTTGAGGATAAGGTGGTGCGAACACCACCTGCAATCTTTGCCTTGAAAGTTTTCCAGTGTCTGAGACATTTGGCTTCATCTGGTATCATAATGACACGTATGGCAGAATAATAGACATATGGGAAAACCGACGGGAGTACAGCAGAGTAATCCTTCAATTTCGTTCTGTGTCCACTGACACACCGCCTTTGTTTCAGATCACCAAACAATGCACCTGACTACACCGCAGACACGAATTCATTTTCCTCCATAACACCTTTGTCATTGGACTTGTTAGCCAACTGATGCTCAAAGTACTCCGGAACGAAGTATCACCTCTAAGCTCATTGTTCACTTGTTCTGAAGTATCAGATATATCATTGGATTATGGAAAGCTCACATGCTTGTTAGTCTGATTTTTGCCACCGGTGTTTATAGTATATTTGGCTACTGGTTACGCGAAAAGCACTTTTCACAATCTATTCAGTTGTGAAGTTGATCGACTGCACACAAATTCACGAATCGTCTATTTCAATGTTCTTCGAGTGCCCTGTGTCACTAATATTCAACAAGAACATAACTGTTTTGAAACGTTTCGTAATCGACTAGTAGGCCCGCATTATGCGTAATCACGTGTTCCTTCGATTACATTTTGCATTCTAGGCTCAGCATTAGATTTTCTTCTCGTTTCAACTTGCCGTTTCGTGAATATTGAGATCCTTATGAGTTCATACGTCGAAAATAGCCTGAGCGGTGTTCCTTTGGACTGAACACACTAAACCACGCGATTTTATCTAGCAACGTGTACCGGAGAATAGACGCTTCCACCAGATTTGTTACGGACTTTAAGAGTTGTTGACTGAATGCAACCATTCGTGTCGAATAAGATAGATTCCAGACCACCTAGTTCAATGAACCTGGTTTAGGATATGTTAGCTAATGTCCTGTATCTGGAAGTATATCAGCTTCCCATCCGAGGCACCTGAGGGTATTTGTACTCATCCAGTGAGCGAAGCTCAGTGAGTGATTCTGTTATGCAGGTGAGCCCACGTGACCATTGTGTTTGTCTGATCTGAGGGCATTTTCACATATGCGTTGCCTATTCTAAGATGTCTAAAAAACAAACGGATTAGCAATTGTCCCAGACTTCAACTGGACGAAGCACAGCTATCGGGTGCGCAACCGTAGAATAAAATCTCTAAAGTAACCGTAGCGATTAATAGATGTTTTGGGGTGAAAACAAACGGCGGAAGACCTGTGAAGAACGTTCTACGAATTTTTCCCCCATTGGTAAAGATCATATGTCAATGCAATACGAGGTTGAAACGCATCCCAACTTTTATCGACGACAAAATGCTACGGGTTACGTTGCGGTTTTAATTACCTTAAATTGCAAGCGAACTGATGGCATTCGTCGAGTTGTCATGTGCGTGAGCTTTGCAAAAAAAAGTTACTGTGTTGACTTCGTAGTACCAATTTTCATTCGTACAGGTTTGCAAAACCAACATATGGATTTTGTGGCGACCAAGAAACTACCTCGGTTCGTCGATTGGAACTCACCTTCACTTCTATTCGTGTAGCGAACTGTGGAGCTATGTACTTGCCTGAATTCCGTTTGACCACTAAATAACCCATCCCCTTGAGTTCGTGCTGAACTCAGACCAGCAGTTTTACGAACAAGGCGCGCCAACTCCGAGGGCATTTTTATCGGAACAGTCAACTGGCTGTGACCAGGCACTATTGTATAGTTTACTGCTTCACTGTTGCCGAGGTCTGTGTTCGGTGGATGCGCATACCTATAATACCAGCTGAGAAAACATTCTATTATGATTGATAAAATCAAAACGTCCATAGTGAGTAAAGCTTAGACACAAATGTTTTCTTCCGGGATACTTTATCAACTAGGAACCCAAAGATTTAACAGGAAATCTTAGCACTCATCACCATGTTAAATGATGCTCACAGAAAACTACTTTTCTGTTTAGATTTCTTCAGCACCTTAGAAATTTCCAATAAAATTATCCCCATATGAGTCGTCCGAACTTTCTATAGGCTTTCAGAATGTTGCCTACTTGTGATCTTGTTGTGTTCAAGCGCTACACTCAACCTCACCGAACTGACTTAAGTCGACATTATATCACCTCGGTCTGCTTGTAAGCACCAACAGAAGTGTACGATAGAGATGTGGGATATATGCGATTTCAGATGCTCATCTCAGAGTAGTAAAAACGGGAAACAGAGCAATGTTATCCACTGATTACAGCTAATTACGTCATTACGAAAGGAACCATATGGTTGTGTAATCGCGTAATCCCGACCAGTCTTTAGGGTGAATTGCCCCAAACATTTGTGACTGCCTCCACTGATCACATTAAACCCCAACGAATATTACGGAATTTCCGAAAGAAGCTACACTAGTTTATCGCCCAGGAGAGAAACACGGTCCGGCGGTTAGGAATACGCATCCCAGAACCTACGCTAGGATCTGTCCAACACTGGATGGTTAAAAACAGAATAAGACAGGTACACATGTATGGATGTTGTTGTTCAATGCAACACAATGTGGTAAACACAGACAGACGGGGAGTTTATTTCTTCTTTAACAGAACATCAAGAGCTGCAAGACGCTCCAGTATCGGCGGATGAGAATAGTGGAACGTAGAATACAACCAGTCAGAAACAGGGAAGGATAAGTTGTCCTTGTGTAAGACCAATAAAGCTGACTTCAAGTAGGCACCATATCCTAGATCGACAGCAAACCTGTCAGCCTGAAATTCCAGACGCCTGGACAAAATAATCATGAGAAAAGCAACAACGGTATTATAGGGAGAGAATATGAACTGGAAAACGACAACCAAACGCAGAAGCACAGGAACATTTGAGGTGAATCCAAAAGACGTGAAAATGCTGTCTATGTTTATAAGCGAACTGAAAACCAAGAACATAAGAAATAAGTTCAACTGACTTATAGCCAAATTAATAAGTGTGTGTCCTAACTTCCAATGCCCTAGTTCATGACCCAGCACCGCGACGATTTCCTCATCAATAGCACAGCCTCGTGAGGCTTCGTCGGTTTCTCCCGAAGCTTTTGAAGTAGACCCATCTTTAGCCGGAAATTTGAAGCCACGGATCAGGGTGTCATAGAGTACAATGCGTTTGTTTTTCCCAAAGCCATAAAAGTAGGCGTTGCTGTGCGCAGAACGCTTGGAACCCTCCACGACAAGCAATTTTTTAAGTGGGAACGAAATCTTTGCAGCTAAAGCTTCGATTTTTGTTCGCAGTTCTCCTTCAGGAAGTGGAACGTAGCGATCAAAAAGTGGGGCGATGAATTCCGGGTATATGAACATCAAAAACAGTGTTATAATGAGCGTAAATACGTATGCGTAAACGTAGAAGTGGCGACCACCAGCTTTAATAATCCAAATCAATCCAGACACTATGGGAAACCCTATAAGAATAGACAATACAAAAGCCTTGAGACGATCCCAAAGGAAGAAGGGTAGTGTCTGTTTGTTGAAGCCATACCTCGCCTCAATAACGAAATCATAGTAAAGTGCCCAAGGTAAAGATTCGAAAAACTTGTATAGGGAAACGTAGAAAAGGAAAAGCAACGAGCATAATATTTCGCTTTCCGAACTTAGCCCTATATCAACACCCAAGAGATTCTTGATGGATTTATTTAGCGGAGCTGCGTGCTCCGTGACTTTGTCCCAAAGCCAAGGTACCACTGAAAACCAAAGGACAAGAGTTGCCTCCAACATATCATAGGCGTCGTGAAAGAATGAAAACATCATTTTGTCAAGAACGTAGGCCTTCGATTTTGAAAACTCATCGGCGTTGATAACGTGAACCAGCTCAGAAGGAACATCCGAGGTGTTCAAGACCACTTGGCGTTGACGACGGTCTAGATAGGTCTCCCATAAGTAAACAAGCCACAAGAAACAGAAGACGGCAGCGAAAAGTGAAACAGGGTAGCCGAAGATACTACCCAGAACGATGACCTCCATGATACCGGTAGATTAATGACCAGAACCGAGTACAATTGGTGTAATCCAGAACACGGGCTGTAAAGAATGAAAGTATGCGGATAAAAAGACAAGTATGTGGGTAACCACTAAGTTGCTGTTTTTTCAGAACCAAAAAAAAAAAAGCCACAAGAAACAGAAGACGGCAGCGAAAAGTGAAACAGGGTAGCCGAAGATACTACCCAGAACGATGACCTCCATGATACCGGTAGATTAATGACCAGAACCGAGTACAATTGGTGTAATCCAGAACACGGGCTGTAAAGAATGAAAGTATGCGGATAAAAAGACAAGTATGTGGGTAACCACTAAGTTGCTGTTTTTTCAGAACAAAAGTGGACAAGGACCAGAAATGGCCGGCTGTTCGAAAATTGGCCACTGCTTCCACCACCATCGTTTATGTACCGTAAAGCACTCCAACCCCGTACAAATAAACAATGGGTTACCTGTTTGATCTCGACTGTGATAAAACCACAATCTTCTAAGAACAACGCTGGTGACTTGTTCGTGCTGCAAAATTAGCAGGCTGTCCCATTCCCCGACAACTAACTTCGTGACTTCCGAGAGAACGCAGCCGAAAACTGAGAAAAAAACCGACTACACATACAGATGAGCTGGAGATGGCTCATCATCATCATCATCATCAAAGACAACAACATCAGTGTTGACACTGATGCTTCACCGCCGTGCAACCATAAGGTTCGTCTAATAATATTTCAAGCCCTAGGGTGAAAAGAAGAGAAAAAGGGTGGGTGAAGGAGGGAGCGTGGTGCTGTTCTAGACGAAGCCTTCTGGGGTGCCTACAACTCCAAGCGCTCAATCAGACAATCTGGAAAGAAACTGACAGCACGAACGCCACTGACATCGATTAGCCGCCATTTCTTGTAACGTCTCGAGCCAAGCACAGACGGGGTCACGGGGACCCCATCCTGGAAGTCTCACCACACCAACAACACCCAAACTCTTCGTGATCTCTTTCACGCCTTTTGCCAAGTCATGTGCTGTCCACCTCGCGGTTTGCGCCATCCTGAGGGAGGCACGGAGAACAACACTCGTCTCGGTAGACGGTGTTTTGGCATCCGTAGCACATGACCGAGCCATCGGAAGCGGTGTTGCTGGATGTTTTCCCCGACTGAAGTACCTGTCACAGTACCAAATACCCGTTTTCTAACCACCTCGTTACTAACACGCTGAAGCCACCCAAAGCCAGCCACGCTTCTGAGGCATCGGTGGTAAACAAAATCCTGGAGATACATTACATCATCTGTCCGCAGAGGCCATGTCTCATACCCATACAATAACACAGCCCTTATTGTAGCCTGGTACGCGTGACCCTTAAGATCTAGTGATATGCCTTTTTGACGCTACAAGTGACACATATTAGTAAACGTGATTCGAGCCTTTGAGATTCTAGCACTCGCTTCATCGGACAAACTTCCGTCAGAGTTAATACAACTACCGGGGTGTGTAAAAGCTTCCACAATCTCCAGTGATTCTCCTTGAATTGTAAGGGATACGTTCGCAGACAGCACGTTCTGAAACATGACTTTGCACTTTGAAGGCGCATGCCAAAGAATAGTACGATGGCGGTCAGTCTATTCAAAAGGGCTTGTGCTTCGCTTCGGTCTTCAGAGATGAGGGTAATTTCATCTGCGTACTCCGGATCGACAAGGCACTCACCGGCAACTAGTTGGACACCGGAGTTTTGAAAACCTTCTAGTGTTCGCCTCAGTATTTTATCAGCGATGAAAATAAAAAGAATGGAGAGGGTAGACACCCTTGTCGGACACCACTTCCTGTGGGAAAACTTTTGCAGAGCTCACCATACGCTCTCACCCGCCCAGAAGTATGCGAATATAGAGATGGGGCATGCTCTGTTAAGCGAGTGTAGTTAAGAGCACTAACCGATCGAAAATTGGTGAGTCGTCTGTACTCGTGGCGTTGCTCCAACCCAGCCGAAATCTCACTGGATTCTCGCGAGTCAGAATTTCACGTGCAACCGTAAGACGATGAAGAATCAGTGACACAAGAAGCCTTGTTACAACAGGCGTCACACTAACACCTCAGTGGTTACTACATTCACTGCGAATACCGTTTCTGAAAATAGGTACTACTATCGATTCGCCCGTCCCGGTGGTCTGGCGAACGATGAAATTACCATCCGGATTGGGAAGGCCAGAGCAGCTTTTGCGAACCTACGTCACCTGTGGCGTACGCGTGACATCAGCTTCTCTGTCAACGGTCGAGTTTACAATGCTGCGGTGCGCTCCATATTACTATATGGATCAGAAACCTGGCCGCTGCGCGCCGAGGACGTCAAAAGACTTTCAGTGTTTGACCATCTGTGTCTTCGGAGCATTGCCCGAATCTGGTGGGAACACCGGATCAGCAATTCTGAAGTACGTCGAATGGTATTCGGTAGAAATAACTCACCCTCGATAGATGAACTGATCACACTTCACAGGTTGCGTTGGCTTGACCACGTGCTGCGTATGCCAGTCGACCGACTTCCTCGAAGGGCTCTTTTCGCCCAACCATATGAAGGGTGGAAGAGAGCCAGAGGCGGTCAAACAATGACTTGGCAGCGAAGTATGAAAGCCATTACCAGCAAACTCAGCTGCGCTGGTCACTGCCGTCTTCCTGGATGGGGACCCCGAGACGGGCCACATCAATGGCTAGGGACATTATCAGACATGGCCCAGTCGTGCCCTCAATGGCGCTCATGCATCGAAGCTATTGCCTTCAACGCATAGCTCCTTTTCCACCCCCCTCCCCGCTTGACAACCCACTGACAGTGCTAGATTTATGCACCAATTTACCAGCTTGCGAGTGCAATGCGCAGCTACCTACCCCCTCCCCCAAATCATCGGTGAACGAAACTGTGGCAGCTACAACCAGTGTACGACCAGTACGCGGTTCTTACAGCTGACAATGATGATGATGATGAGTCGTCTGGAACGGCCACTTTCTCCCACAAAGACCCAAACAGGCTAGACAGGCACTGGATGCCCACCATTCTGTTGAAGGCCAGAATTCTGGATTGGAGGTACCAGGTGGCCAGCTGAATTGCTGCTCGAAGTATTGTGCCCAGTGATTCAAGCGTTCTGCTTTGTTGCATATCAGGGAGCCACTTTGGTCCCTGATTATTTCGCTGACAAGAGAATACCGATCGAACGAATCAAGTGGAACAGCTTGCAGACGTTTCCAGAATTTTTTGGGTCTCCATTTCTTCGGCATTTCGGGTCCACCAAGCTTCTCAGTTTGCATGAATACTCAGTTTCACCTGGTGTCGGATGATGCGTCGGGTGGAGTTGCGATTTTGGCCAAGAGGGGTCTGTTGCCGGGTCTCCAGCTAAGACCGTCACGAAGAGACTGGACCTTACCAAGCTTCTCTGCATGAATACTCAGTTTCACCTGGTGTCGGATGATGCGTCGGGTGGAGTTGCGATTTTGGCCAAGAGGGGTCTGTTGCCTGCCCTCCAGCTAAGACCGTCACGAAGAGACTGGACCTTACCGTGGCGTGACGGTTTGCGCACCTCAGCGATCCATTGAGCTATACTGGAGAGTGTCCCGCGACACTCACTGAGTCTCTCACACCAGGTTGGTCAATGGTTAGAGGTCTGACGAACACAGTCTCCTGGCCCTCCAGGTTGGGGGTTGGAACATGTGGCGACTTGTTCCGTAGATATGGTAATGCATTTGCATTTCCCGCCAAACACCTTTGCCTTGCGGTTAGGCTTTTGAGCCAAAGGCTCTTGTTGAGGACCCTAATCGTCCTCCTGTCTAGGTGTGGGCGCCCTGGCAGTATCCCAGCCCTCGTACAACCATGACCTACACAACTAACAATATTCTCATGCCACATCGGGCGTTGCGTGGTGCCATCAGCCGGGTCGCCTTAATTGCTTCATACAGCAGGGCGGGTAAGCGAAAACAGGCTACTGCTGACGCCTCCCTTCTTT